AAAATGAGGACCTAATGTCGGGGTTTTAAGTGGAGAGAAAATGTTTTGAGAATGATGTACAAATGAGCTTTACACAATTGATGTGTGTATGAACTGCGATAACAGTTGTATGAGCCCCTAATAAAATGTTTAAAAAAAAATTTCAAAGGGCAGCTCAAAAAGACAAAGTCAATTATTATAATGAAATGTGCAAAGACCTAGAGTTAGAAAACTGAAAAGGAAGAACATGCTTAGCTTACCTTAAACTAAAAGAATTCAAGAAAAAAATTTGAGACTGCAGTTGAAATACTGAAAGATGTAATGTGAATAATGCAGAAAGCATCAAAAGATGATGGAAAAGGATACTGTCACTTTAAGAAAAATAACTGAGGCAAGAACCAATGGTGCTGAAGGAAGGAGTTCAAGCTGCACTAAAAACATTGTTAAAAACAAGGCTCTAGGAATTGATGGAATTCCAATTGAAATATTTCAGTAAGCTGATGAAACACTGGAAGCAATCACTTGTCTATGCCAGGAGATTTGGGAGACAACTACTGGACCAAATGATTGCAAGATTCCAAAGAAAGGTAAATCATCAGAATGAGCAAATTTATTAATATCACATGCAAGTAAAAGTTTGCTGATAATCATCCAACAACAGTTGCAGCAGTACATTGACCTAAGGTTCTGGCCAGAATCAGAGGAGGACATGAAACAAGAGATATCACTGCTGATGTCAGATGGACTTTGGCTCAAAGCAGAGAACATCAGAAAGATTTTCATTTGTGTTTTATTGACTATGCCAAGGTATTAATTTGGCTGTTTGGATCATAACCAAATAGAGACAGCCGTAAGACGAATAAGAATTCCAGACCACTTCATTGTGGTCATGGGAAACTAGTTCAAGAGGCAGTTCTGTGAACAGAAAAGGGAATAAATACTACATGGTTTAAATTCAGGAAAAGTGTGTGTCAGTGTTGTATCCTCAACCACACTTACGAAATCTGTATTCCGACCATATAAAAAAGCTGGATTATATGAAGAATGTGGCATCAGAATCAGAGGAAGGTTTATTAATAACTTGTGATATATTAATGGCTCAATCTCGCTTGCTGTAAATGAAAAAGATTTGAAGCACTTATTGAAGAAGATAAAGGATTGCAGCCTTCAGTATGGATTAGGATTTATCTAAAGAATTCACAAATCCTCACAACTGGACTAATAAATTGCATGATGATAAATGGAGAAAAAGTTGAAGTTGTCAAGGAATTAATTTTTCTTGAATCCTTAATCAATGGCGATGAAAGCAGCTGTCAAGCAATCAGCAATCAAAGGATGCACTGCATAGGCAAATCTGCTGCACAAGACCTCTTTAGAATGTTTAGCTAGACCAGAACATGTATACTGGTACTGATAAGAGCTCGCAACACAGGAAATCCAAAACAGATACCGCCCCCCTTTGCCCCCTACCAGGACTAATAATGGGAGCAGCAATACTAGGCGGGGAAGGGAAGGAGGAAGGAGATAGAGGGAACCAATCACAATAATCGACATATGGCACCCCCCTCCCAGGGGGCACAGACGGCAGAAAAGTGGGTAAAAGAAGACAGCAGTCAATGTTAGACATGGAAAAATAAAAAGGAATAATTTATCAATTATCAAGGGGACATGGGGAAGGGAAGAAAAATAAAAAATGGGGAGCGGATACCAAGGGCTTCAGTAGAAAGAAAATGTTTTGAAAAAGATGACAACATATATACAGATGTGTTTGACACAGTGGATACATGTATGGATTGTATTAAGAGCTGTAAGAGCCCCCAATAAAATAATTTTTTTTTAAATGTCGAAAGGCAAGATTACTTTTGAGGATTGAGGTGCATCTAACCCAAGCCATAGTATTTTCAATTGCCTCATATGTTTGTGAAAGTTATAAATTGAGTTAAGAAAGAGTGGAGAAAAATCTATGCATTTTAATTATAGTGCTGGCAAAGAACACTAAAACGTCTACCATGGACTGCTTAAAGAACAAACAAATCTTGTCTTGGATGAAGTACAGCCAAAAAGCTCCTTGGAGGCCTGGAAGGGAAGACTTAAGTCTCATGTACTTTGGGAATGTCAAGAAGACCAGTCCGTGGGAAAGGACAATATGCTTGGTAAAGCAGAGGGGCGGAGAAAAAAAGGAAGATCCTCAAGTAGATGGACACCGTGGCAGCAACAGTGAGTTCAAGCATAAGGAAAATCGTGAAGATGCACAGGGCTGGTGGGTGTTTCATTCCGTTGAACACAGGGTAGCTAGGTATTGGAACCAACAACTCCTTTAAGACGTATCCATCTTAGTTTCTTCATTCAACAGTTCCTTTCTGTTAGGTCTCATGAATATATGGAACTCTTCGGGATTTTGTGTTTTAGCTGTGCTTGTTTTCCCTTATCTCAGTGGCTCTCAACCTTCCTTATGCAGTGATCCTTTTATTGAAGTTCCTCATGTTGGGTGACCCCCCCAACCATAACATTATTTTCATTGCTGCTTCATAACTGTCATTTTGTTACTGTTATTAATCAGGCGACCCCTGTGAAAGGGTTGTTCAACCTCCAAAGGGGTCATGACCCACAGGTTGAGAACTGCAGCCTTAGCTGGTCATTTCACTCTATGGGAACACAAGATTTTGCAAGGCCTTTCTCTAAAATAAAACAGAATTTAAACTTGTTTAATAGTAATGTCCAGCCTTGGAAAAATGTCAAGAAAATAGTCCCTTTTCTTTCATTTAAATTCTATAAACATTCTAAACCTGAGAACCTGAAATATGTCTGCCATGTGGGCAATGCTGAAATTAAGAATCGAAAAAGCTATCTGTCTTTCAGCCTATTCACAACTCAGTGGGAAACTTACTGCCATCGAGTAGCTAGTGACTCACAGAAATCCTGTAGGACCACAGAACTGCTCCCCTTGGGCTTTGAGGCTGTGACATTTTACCAGAGCACATGGAGACCTCTATCTTTCACCTGAAGAAGAGCTGTTGTAGACCAACTGCTGTCCGTGCAGTTAACAGCCCAACATGCAACCTACTATGCCACAAAGGCTCCTTCTAATGGGAAAAGTAAAACAATCATTGATATACACTGTTGAATGTGCTGACATGTTATTAAAAAAACACCACTCACCATAAAAAATAAAAATCACTGCTCTCAATTCTGACTCTTTGCAACCCTACAGGACAGAGTTAAATAGCTCCTTTGGGGTTCTAAGACTTTTAAATTTTTACAAGTGCAGAGAGACTCATCTTTCTCCCCAGGAGTGGCTGATGACTTCAAACCCCTGACTTTGCACTTAGCAGCTGAATGTATAGCTCACTATACTACCAGGGCTCCTTGTTATAATAAACCAAAGTCAAACTCACTGCCATCAAATCAATTCTGCCTCATAGCAACCCTGTACAGCACGGTAGAACTGCCTCTGAGTTTCTAATACTGTAACTCTTTACAGGAGTAGAAAGCCCAGTCTTACTCCCTCAGAGTGGCTGCTGGTTTCAAACTGCTGACCCTGAGGAAAGCAGCACAATGCATAACCACTATGCCCCCAGGGCTCATTTTAATGAATGGTTAATATTTAATGAGCTCCTACCCCTGGTGGAGTAGTGGGTTACGCATTGGGCTGTCTACCTTAAGTTCAAAATCAACAGCCATTCCGGGGGGAGGGGGGTGTGACAACACCACATAACTCCCATTAAATTTTATTTTATAGTTTCCCCAATACACAGGGACAGTTCTACCCTGCCCTACAAGCTTGATATGAGTTGGAATCAACTTGATGGTAGTTTCCTTTTTTAATTCTGTGTATCAAGCACTGATATCAGCACTTTACATATATTATTTTTTTTAATCCTCACAACCCTCTGCGGTAATTATCTTTGCTATTTTACAGGTGAGTAAATTAGGCTGCACAGAGAACTAACGGATTCAAGGTCCCATAAGTAGTAACTTCAACTATAATTGTAGTTTTCTTGGGCTTCAGTGGTATATTTACTGGCATTAAAAAGAAGGAAATGGATTATTTAAGATGGAGCACCCAAATGCCCAACAAGCACCAAGCAAAATCAATTATATGAAATTAAAGAATCATCTCCTTATAGGAAAAACACTCGCTCTTCAATAATTCTCTGCATTACTTAGTTTCTGTCATTTTCTGTGACAGGTATGAATAATAAAATGTTAATTTATATGAACACACCTATGTAATTTATCATCATTATTATAATTTTTAATAGTTACTCTTATAGAAAGAACACCATGAAGGATTTTCCTACCATAATGTATTTTTGAAACATATGCTGGTTCAGGTGAAATGACAGGTTCTGCAGGAATAGGAGGAGGACCTGTGAACAAAACATCACAAAGAAGTGTTAAACATTCCAAGATTCCAACAGTTACTGTCCTGTAATTAAACTGTAATCCAGGAGTGACTACTTTTCCAGTATACATCTGTCAACTCTAAACCATCTAATGCTAACCCTTGATAAACATCTTGGCTATTTTTGAAATATCTTAGGCAAATTTTCTAATCTTTTGATGCAGTACAGAAAGACGAGGCTGTGCTTGTCTGTAAAGATGTTCAAGTCCTGTAAACTCTTTATAAGATTGCTGAGTCAGAAATGACTCAGTGGTAGGGTGGTCAGGTTGGTTTGATATACATAGCTTGCTTATAATTAAACATCCTTAAAAACCTTTAAAAGCTTATCCTAGATGCTTATAAACACTTTGCTACTTATAGTATAAAACACTTTATTTTAATATTCTATTGAAAATGCAATTAAGTAAAAACTATTATCATCAGTTATTTTGCCAGACAATTTCTTGCGCGATATTCTAGTTGCATACTTTGCAAAGACTTCACAATTTGGTCCCCAAGTCGGGGAGACCTGGAAAGGGTGGGGGCAGCGTAACAAACCAGAGTTAAAAGAGATCCTGGAAGTTTAAATGAAGACTATGAAAAATTCACATGGAAAAATTTCAAATATTAGATGTACAACATTAAATGCATAATATGAATTCAATAGTTACAGGGGGGAAAACAAACAAATTTTTACTCAAGTACTGGACAAATTAGCAGAGATTTATTAACATAATTTTATCTTTTGCTGATGAAATACCCAAGAGCATTTTACCAAAAATTCACTGGCCTTGAGTCGATTCTGACTTATTTTGACCCTATAGAGGGGTTCCAAGGCTTTTAAGGCTTTATGGGAGTAGGCAGCCTCAATTTTCTCTCATGGAGTAGCTGGTGTGTTTGAACCTCTAACCTTGCAGGTTAGCAGTCCAATGCTTACCTGAAAGGGCCACGTGTTAGAAGTCAGGCAAACAGACAGCAACAAAAGGAAATAATTCAAATCCTGAAACATTTTTCTTTAAGTTGTCAAGTAACTATTAGCTTCTGTCAATTCCTCCAGAAAACCAGTATATTCTTCATATACTGTATAATTATAAATATTTACCTGATGTTTCTAAAATTCCTGGTTCAGGTTCATCCAATTGTAGAAGTTCATCAAGAGCTAGTTTTGCGGCATTGGATCGAGACTCCTTTTTATTTTGTCCTAGTCCAGTCTTGTATTGAATACCATCCACCACAGCACAAAAAGCAAAATATGGTCCCAAAACATTACCTTGAAAAAGAATTCAGAGTGAATGCCACAATGTCAGAATATGTCTTGCAATAGTATATGGGGATTAAAATTTTGGAAAATGACTTCCTTTGGAAAAGTCTTTGGATACGACAATCTTTTCTCAGGACTCACGGAAGTTAAAACAGAACCTGGGGAGGCTCCTGAACTAGCTCTGAAGAGCCTTCTCATAGACAGCTTGGATCCAGATGCAAGGTAAACAAGAGAGGCGGTTCAGAATACAAGTTACACATGGTTGGCCCTAAGAACTCAAAATACACATTGAATACACTGAAATACAAAATGTGAACTTCCCGTCATCTCTTGGACCTGCTGTTCTTTCACACTTCAATAAAATACACTAAATTTTTTCCATTCTGAGTGTCTCATAACTCTTTTAAGCTCTGGGACACAGACATCTTGAAGAAATCCTATGCATTCATCAGTATTTACTCGCCTCTAGGAAAGTAATTCAAATGGTCATCGTCTTATAGCAGGTAAAGGGAGGGAACTCAAAGAGAAATAAACAAGCTATCCTAAAGAATTAAACATTATTAGACATTCAGTCTAGTTAACTCAAAATCCCTAAAAGAATTAGATCTAATAACCAAACTATCTGCTTGATAAATGAAAATGGAACATCTCTTAAATGTACAGATCAAAGATTTTTCGGATTCACATTTTACTTGTTGGTATTTGGACTTTATTTTTGTTAGCTGTCATCCTGTGAGGCCCACCTACTCAAGGTGGTCCATGGTCAAGTAACAAAACATCACTCGGTTCTGTTCTATCCCCAAGAATGACTGTAGATTGAGATGACAAAGGTTTTCAATGGCAAATTTTCAGAAACTGATAACCAGGCTACACACCTAGTGTCTCAGTCTGGAAGCCCCTACTCAGCTTTATAGCAACATGCAAGCCTCCATTGACAGGTGGGTGGTGGCTGTGCATGAAATGTCCTGGTCGGGAATTGAATCCAGGTCTGTTCCATGTGGACTTTATGAGGACTTTTTATGTCATAAAGAGCACTGATGTAATAGTGGGTTATGTATTGGGCTGCTAGCCATATGTTAGCAGTTTGAATCCACCAGCCACTGTGAGTGAGAAAGATGAGGTGTTTTGCTCCTGTAAAGATTTATACGCCCCAGCCTAGGAAATTTTAGGGATTACCTTTACTTTGCCATATAGCAGTGTTTCCCCTACTGGGTGATTCCACCCCATGGGGAGCACTGGAACGATTTGGGGGCACAAAAGCAGGTATCTACCCTGGGTTATGGGCTATAGCAAAGATTCTTGAACTGCGGGTCATGTCCCATATTGGGTCCTGTAAAGTGAACATAGAGGTCAAAAAAATTTTTACAACAGTAAAAAGTTTCTAACCATGCAATAACCAAAAATTAATTCGAAATTAAATGCATAATGAATACAAGGCATTTCTAACAGCACTTTGCCCATGTTGAAAATTTCTTGGTTGAAAAGGAGTCCAAAGTGGAAGTAGTTTAAGAAGCCCTGGGGTTTAGTATAAAAGTTATAATGCATAGGGCAGGGTAAGTAATGTGACACGGGGGCAGTAAGCCAAATAAGTTTGGGAACCTATACCTATGGGGTCACTGTGCTTCACAATTGACACAGCATGGGTTTTTTTAGTGGTATGTCTTAACTTTTTTTGCTTATGGATGGCTAGGAACTATGTCACTGTAATTAAACCTCATATATCCATAATTGCAATACATTTACTTTACTTTTAATTTTTAGTGAAAAAAATAACACACATCAAGGTTTGATAAGTAATTCTCTCTTGGTAAATTTTTTTTGAGTGTAATATTGTGTATTTTTTGCAGCTTACATTTTCTAGAAGTTTTAAAATACGTAAAATACAGCCTGTACATTTGCTGAAAATTAGGTTAAAAACATTTTTAGTTGTTCTGTCTTGTACTATAATTTCTGCAGACTTTCTTCTGTTATATCAGAATGATCCCAGAAGGGTCTTCAGGAGCAAGTTTCTTGATGTGTGTATGGAATATGGGCTTTGATATGTTTAAAAGTGAGTGGACCATGGCAACAAGACAGACCTAGGTTCAAGATCCTTCCCCTAGAATTTACTACCAGCATAATTTTAAGTGAACAGGCTTCTCTTTTCCATCGTCTGTAAAATTGGGATTTTTAGTAACTACTTTATATAGATATGTTAAGATTTTTTCCCCTCTCAAAACTCACTATCAAGTTGATTCTGTGGGTTTCTGAGACTACATCTCTCTATAGGAGTAGAAAGCCTCATGGTGAGCCTGGTGGTTTCGAACTAGCAGAATATTCTGAATATTTAACAAGTGGCTTAAATCATTCTTATGTGTGAGATATTCTACATGTAATCTGTTATAAAGTCACCTTTCCCAGAGTGGTAAGCCCTTAAGCTTCATTAGCTTCAGGTTATCAAACTTTATAGATCAAAATCACCTGCAGAGCTTGTTAGAAGTACTAATTACCTTGCCTCACTACAAAACCTACAGATACACTTGATCCATTGCTCCTAAATGATCACAATTAACAAACAATTGTACTTCTAAGTTGTTTTTGCTCAGTAAAGTGAAGATTTTCCCTGATAAACTTATGTTATTTCTACTAGAGCCAATAGCTTACATTTTTCAAGGACAGTCAGACAATGGAGAAAAACTAGCTGTGACAGAGGTTAACCCCAGAGTATTGACATCGTTAACAAAGCCAAACTATAATGATAGTACCAAGGAAAAGTCCACACTCTACATTAAAATTTATTTTGGTCAACAGTCTCAATATTGCTACAATTATCCTTACAATCTTTATTGTTGCTAGCTGCCATGGAGTGGGCCCAACTCACGGTGATTCTACACACGACCAAAGGACATTCAGCAAACCCTACCTCACATCATCCCCAGTGATTGTTTACACATTGGACCACTGTGAGCCAGAGGGTTTTTGCATTGGCTGATTTTCAGAAGATGGGTTGGCCTATCTTCCTAGACCGTGATATTTTAGAAACTCTGCTTCCTGCATTACAGCAACACATAAAACCTTCACTTACAGATGGGTGGCAGCTTTGCATGAAGTACACTGGCCAGGAATTGAATCTTGGTCTTTCACTTCAAAGATGTGAATTCTACCATTTACAATGTTTACTAAAGTCTTAATACCTTTCAATTATTTTGCAAAATGCTAAAATTGCATTGAGATGCACACTAGTAAATCAGTTTCAAGAAAAGAGTTAAAAGCAAAAACAAAACCCCCCCAAAACTACTTGATTGTATATGTTTACACACACACACACACACACACACACAAACATACACAGCACATGGGGGGCAGAGCGCTTCAGAAAGTTTGTGGAAAATGCAATGAAAAGATAATAGAATTTTTCTATGAACTTTTTGAAGTCCCCTCACATAAAGGTTTTATTTTTTCAGCTGTGCTTCTTTGACTCTCATACATGTAACTTGCTCATAACCTCTTAGGGGCATTTGCTCTCTTAGTCCTCCACTTTCCTAATCACTGGTCATCAGGTAAAGAGATCAAATGCTGAATTCTGTCATTTCACTAATTTATAACCTCTAGCCTTCCACAGGCTCAATAAAGTCATTATGTATTTTTTTGATTGGTGGATATAAAAAAATGAGACAACGGCCAGGCAAACTCACAGAGAACCAATCACATTATGTGCTATTTTCATATCTAACTCCAAGAATTTAGAAGGCAACTTGATCATAATTTTTTCGTATGCACTGTCACAAAATGATTTTTTTCCTTAAGCATTATCACAAAATCCTCCTCATAAGGTAATCATACAGCAAATATTTAACATCCCTAGGAAAGTGTGAGTAACATTCTGTAAATTTTACCTGATAATCCATGAAGCTAATGAGATTTCAGTTCAACTGGACAACATAAATTACAATTCAATGAGACAAAACATTTTATATATATGTCTTATGATCGACATCTCAAAAGGTTAAGTGTAGATATAAAAACTTAAGATTCCTGTCAAACAGCTACTAGTTATCTAACCCTAATGCTAAGTGAATATAGAAAATAAAGTTAGCGAACGTATATGCTCAGTATTTAAAAGAAGGATACTTTCCAGTCCTACAATAACCAGGCACAACTTTGCACTTGCCTGTTGTTACAGTTTCCTTAAGGTCAAGGTGAACCCGTTGCATCTGGGCAAACTGGTGCAAGGCAGACACAGGATTTATCTCTCCTCGCTTGTATTTCATTATAAATTCCTTAGGTATTTTTTTGGGAGGAAGAACTGGATTTGAAATAGATGTAAGTCCTTTGGACAACAATGGTTCCGGAAAATTCCCTAAAAATACATATTTACATTGGTCACTTTGATAAATAGCAGAGCCAACCTAGCCAATTCATCCAAACCCACTGCTATTGAGTTGATTCCAATCATGAAGACCCTGTAGGACACAGTAAAAAGGTCCCCTACAGTCTCTGAGACAACAAATCTTTACTGGAGCAGACACTTCCATCTTTCTCCCAAGTGACAGCTGATGAGTTTGAACTGCAGACCAGCAAAAGTACTGAATCTTCCCTAAAAACATAAGGTTGTCTCAGATCCGTTTGGTCATATGCCTTTTGGCATGGTATGCACAATTTGCTATTATCATGTGTCTTTTGTAGGAAGTCTATTTTGCAGAGAGGTAACATCACTCACTGCCTTATCATTGTTAAGTAACAAAGAATCTTCTACTTGCTCATGATTTACAGGCGAGAAAATGTCTTTAGAGGTTCTCTAAGCCAATTTTATACATGTGATTACTAAGGCTTAGAATGAATTGAATTAAGTAGCAGAGTTGGGACTAGAACCTGGTGTTTGGCTTCCACCCATTTTTTAAAACTGTGAGTCACACAGACTTCAAAAGCATTTCTTAAAGCATGTTTGTCCCTCTATGGAGCCCTGGTGGTGAAGTGATGAACTGCTCAGCTGCTAACAGAGGGGGTCAACAGTTTCAACCCACCAGCGACTCCCTAAAACAAAGATGTGGCCACCCCAGCAAGATTAGCTTAGAAAAACGGATAGGTTTACTGCTCAACACCGTGGCAACATTTTGTTGTTGTTTGGGTTCTTTTTTGGGTGCCTGTGATACTATGCTAAATGATATGTGGAACCAATGTCACCAGTACAAGTTCAGGCTCTCCCCTGAAGAGGCAAATAATCACCTTGCATCAAAAAGGCAAGGTTAAGTTGATGGCAATCTAGAAAGTTAAGCAGCACTGAGCCAAGGTCTACAGCTGGTCTTCAGCGTGGTTGGGCTCGAATGCCAAGTGGGCTATTCCGATGGGCAAATGGCTGTGCGTTTGTATACAAATCCCAGAAACCTGTAAACAAAAGGTCCAGCAGATCCTACTTGCGATCCCGGAATCTTAATGAATGGAGGCATTGTTACAAATGAAGCAGTCCTACCAGTCACTTGCGTAACCTTGGAAGCCATATTCGACAGGCTGTAACTTTCCGAGGAGTAGCCTGATGGTGCGGCCACGGTCTGCGCAGAGGGCTGCACTGGCAAATTCTTTTTCAGCATCTGAGCAAAGCTAGGGACCCGGGGGCTCTGGAACCAATCGTTGTTGCCAGCCATCTTCTCACCTGCAACTCATGAGAAAATGGAAGGTAATGGGAAAGAAAAGAAAAAGTGACTAGTTAAATGAAAAAATATCCATTCTAGTCAAAAAATCGTACATATGGCTTAACACACGTGCTCGTGATTCCCTCTTTAACTCAAGTGATGACCCACTTTCGGTGCTAAAGTTTTAACAGACACAGAACACGGCTCTCCGGAATCTTACTTTTGCTTAAAAGAGGGCAGACGGGTTGTGGGAGAGGTCAAGCAAGCTTAGAAAAAGCGAGAAACGCCAGCCCCTCAGCGGGGAACCCGCCCTACCCACCCTGGGCAGGCTCCTGGGTCCTTAAATGGCTTCCACCCACCGAATGGCTCTTTCCGCCAAGGGAGCCACAGGCCAGGCCGCAGCGGAGAGCTTGCCGGCCGCCGTTGCTTCCTCCTCCGGCCCTAACCTCTCACCTCAAGCGGCTTGCCAAGGGCCACACGGTCGGCGCTCAGCGTCTTTCAAATCCGGCCTCGCGTCGCCCTCACAAAGCCTGTGGGTGACGCCCCGGCGCCTGCCTCGTCCAATCACCAACCGCCTCGGTGTCCGGCTCCCGCCCCCGCGTCTGCGCCTCGCCGTCACGCACGCCTCTCTGCGTCTGCGCAAAGAACAAGGCGCCGCCCACGTTCTAGGCCGGCGCCGGCGCGTGGTGCTGCACTTTGGCCTCGACTGGCCAGCCGCCCTCCTTGCTGGAGAAATCCGGTAAAATCGCGCAGCTGGGCCGCTTCGTCCTGCAGTCCTTGGCCCCTCACCCTCTGTAGCAGCTCTATTGCGGTCTTGTAGTCTTGGGCCTCGTTATCTGGAGTGCTCAGCCGTTCAGGGGAATTTGTACCAGGCTTGTTTCAGAAGAGCCCATCTTCCATCATCCTCTTGAGTAGGCTGTCACCTCTTTTTGAAACTGAAGCTTGCCCTTAAAGGTTTCCCTATTAATAGGACCCCCCCCCCCGTCCCCAAAAAACCCCACCAACGACAAAAAAAAGTATTTGACATGTGTGCTAGGGAAGCCAAAGGACAAGTGTAACGAGCAACCAACTGTCTGAGGGCTTGCGAGCAACATGGCTTGAATAGCTGGGTGATAAATCTCCTTTGATGTTTTCATTTTTTTGTTCTGGTGGAAGTTGAAGGTGGCCATGGTTGGGATGCTACATAATAGATCATAGAACCTATTGGTCGTAGTAAATCACTAAGTTTGGACACGTAATCTAGAAGGACTGCAAGGCAGTGGGCAGCATTTTGGTGCTTGTCAAGGAACTCTGGTTATGCGTAGGGGTTAAAGATCCCTAAAGGTGAAATGCTCCTTGAGAGAAACCATATGGGACGGTTCTACCCTAACCTTTTAAGGTGGCTATCAACTGGAATTGACAGCAGTGGTTCTGGTTTTGTATAGCAAATTCCATTTAAAACAAAACTTCAAGTCTCATATACTTTTTAAAATACGAACAAGACTTCTCGAAGGTTAAATGTTGTAGAAAGAACTAAGAAAGAAAAACAGCAATACTATTAATAACATTCTCCTTTCATCCATAACCAAACGGATTAATTAGGAGGAAAACTACTCCATCCATCCTATTAAGCAGTTCTCAAAATGTGTTGATTAAGCTGCTTTGATCAGGTGTCCATTAATAATTACAGTGATAGCTCAATCGGAAGGGTTTTTTCCCCTTAACATTTAGAGACATTTGGTTACAGGAAATGATAAAAGTATGTCAAGAAGTATAATTATGCACAAAACTTTCAAGCTCAAACATATAATTAGGATAAAATTCAGCGCAAAATAAAGAAATAAAGGTTCAAGAAGCAAAATGTATGAGGTGAAAAATCCCCTGCATACCCATTTCCCATAGATTCCAATGACCAGGTTATTCTGTGAACATCAGTGTTCTAGGAAAATGGAGGATCATTATATCCCCTCATTCCTCACCTGTACCATGCATGTTCTGCCAGGCCCATGCTGAGGTCTTTGGTCACCACTACCTGCCTCTTTCACATGTCCCTTCAGCAAAGTACACTGGAGGGTCACCCAGTCTTCCTGAATTAGAGTGGCCTAATCACTGCTCCTCTCACAATCCCTTCCCTCTCTTGCCCTCAGCATATGTGGGGGATGAGTGGTCCTAGTTCATTTCCTCAATAACCCCTAAAACACCCTTGGTGGCTTTGCCAGGCTCCTCCAGGACTGGAGGTCTGGGTGGTACAGGAGTATGGTACATATTACTTGCTGGGTTACCCCAAAGGCCCGTCACTTGAGCATCCTCTACTGCTTCCATGAAGGTATATATGCAAATGTGTGTGTGTGTGGGTGCACATGTATAGCTACATATACATAAAAATAATTGTGCAAGTTATTTAAAAATTTTTGATTTATAGAAAAGTTATAGTAGTCCTCCATATTAAATGCTGTTTCCCCAAATGTTAATCTTACACAACCACAGCTCACTTTTTAAAATTAAGAAATTGACATTACTACATTATTGACTATTTAGATTTCTCCAGATTCTCAAGTAATGTACATTTTCTCTCTCAGTAGTCCACTTGCTATACAGCTTAGAGCATCATGTCTGCTTAGGCTTCATTTGTAACAGTCTTAGTTCTCCCCACCCCCGTAGTTTTATTGGGATATAATTCACTTATCATATACTTCCATAGTTAAGCCATATTTAAAAAGAGTTGTATATACATTACCACAATCCATTTTAGAATACCCTTTCCCCATCCTGTATTCATTATTTGCTCCCCATTTCCCTCTAACCTCCCCCACCGTGTCCCCAATAAGCCATTACACTAATTATTATCTGTATATATTTGTCCCTTCTGTGCTTTATAAACTGGGAAACATACCCCAAAAACCCCAAAAAACAAAAACAAAATCCCTAAAACAGTGTGTGTATGTATATGTGTATATTGTTTTATGTTTGTGTGTGTGTGTGTTATAAAATCACTGGCTATATTACACCAGAGGAAAAAACCTCTGTTGAGATAAAAGTAAGAAATATTTAAAACTAGAACAAATCCAAAATGGTTCAAGAGGATCAAGTGACCAGGTATCACATTATAATCTGGTTCCATCCACTGTAATCAAGTTTACAAAAGGGATTTTGGGCTCCTACTGTCATCTATAGCCTTCTGAAAATTGGGTGTTCACTAATTAAGCTCTGATTACCTTTGCCTCCTTCATATTTAGATTTTGTTGTTTATCATACTTGAATCACATAGGCTACTGTGTTTCTCCCATGTGGACTTAACTGATGCCTCATTTAGATTGCTGCTTGCTTGATTACAAGACTTTAAGACATCAGATGTTATTGTTTTTGATAGCCAGGTACCATCTGCTTTCTTCACCATATTTTTCTGTAGCACCTATATTTCCAGTGATTGCTTAACTAGGGTGCGCATTGAGCAGGGCCGTGTCATAAGAACTAAATGTTCTTGGATTGAGGCTAGAATTAAGTGGGAGTTCAGAGTCCATTCACTTGCCCACAGATTATGTATAACTGTGGCTCACTTTAGAGATTTCATTATCATTTTATGATAAAGAACATTATCAATCATCCTCTCTAAAGCATAATGTAATTCCATTGATAATATAATTAATTTATCCAATGGCATAGAATTTAACATAACTGTTGAGAAAAGGAAGTTCTGCAATTACATCTCAGCTCAGAAACATAATCTCTGAGTTGTTGATTTGTATTGAAGATATTAATACATATCATAGTAAAGCAAGGAGGACATTAAAGTAGCAAATATGTCATGCATGTGGTTCACCTTTCATTGGATGCCCAAAAAGCCAGGGACCCTAACAGTGTTAGTCCAGGTATGCTAGAGAAACATCAAGTGGATCATCTTCTCCCTTTCCCCTTTCTTGAGTGGCCCTAGCTGAGGTGAGATCTCCTCTTTCAAGGTAGTTCTTAACATGTGAATATAAGAGGGGTGATGTATGGTTCATGGGTGCTAGGCACGCTCTCTCCCCCTCTGAGAGACAGGATCAGAAGTTTCCATGTTCTGAGAGCAGAAGCCTGCCTTCATCTTGGTGCTTTTCCTTATAGGAGTGGGCTGATACAGTATTTGTTCTTCTGCGATGGATTAAGTTCACGCAGCACAATCGTTTCCAGATCCTGCTGTGCCATGTGCCATTTCATACTTTTGTAATTTTTTTTAGGGATGACTGTCTTTCTTTGAAGAGTGCTACTCAGCCATTTTCTAACTCCTGGGTTTTGTGTTTGGCCAATGTTTCCTTAAGATCATGTAGGAGCTATGATTATCTGGGAAGACCAATTCAGAGATGCCACCTCCTGTAAATCAGTTTCTCCTAATGTGCTAACTTGTATGTTGCTCTGATGCTGGAAACTATGCCACCAATATTTCAAATAGTAGCAAAGTCACCTTTCTAGACCAGGACTAGAACAAAGGCCTGGTGATCTACATCTGTAAATTAGTCAATGAAAACCTTGGGTCTGAAGAAATTGTGTGTGGCCCTTATCTAAGCTCCTATGGCTACCAAAAAGGAGGAGACTACAACTCCACATGCCCAAGTGTGACTCCTGGAGGTCAGAGGTCAGAGAGGCCTTCACTCTCCTTTGTCCTTTCCTTGTCATGTCCCCTAAGCTTTATATAGTTGTGCTTCGTTCATGGCCTGGTATTGCTGCTGTCGTGGTTCCTTATCATCTACATGTGTGTGGGATCATTAGCAAGAAATCTTCTCTTTTCTTCCTAAGAGGGATAGCTTGTGTCTTACTCCTTCTGCCTGGTTTATCAATTTCACTGATCGAATAGGGAACAAGCATGTGGGTTCACTGAGTTTTGTTTCATTTTCATTGATTTCTGTTGAAATCTCAGCTTGATGTGGATTTAATTTGTTATTTTTCTTTAGTTTAAAGCCAAGATTACTGATTTTGGATCCTCTTTTCATAAATTTCTTAAGTGCTACTTTAGCTGTATCCTACATCTTTTTATGCATTGTATGCCCATTTTTTATTTTAAGCAGTTTCCCCTGAGATATCCCCTTCACCAGTTCATGGGTTATTTAGAAGTGTGTGGTTCAATTTTCAAATGTTTCTGAACTTTTCCCAGATATTTCTGTTACTGGTTTCTAGTTTCTTCAGAATTGCTGACATTTGTTTCACTTTGGCTTTCTTCCACCTCTTTGAGGTTAGCTATATGCTTTGTGATTCTGCTTTGTCTCTCCTCTTGTGTTGTTTCAGGAGCCCTGGTCACATAGTGGTTACACATTGGGTAGCTAACTGCAAGGTCAGCAGTTCCAAACCACCAGCTGCTCCATAGGAGAAAGGCAGGACTTTCTGCGCTGGTAAAGAGTTACAGTGTTAGTCACGGGGGCAGTTCTAGTTTGTCACATAGGTCCCTATGAGTCGGTATCAATCGGTGGCAATGAGGGTTTTTTCTATTATTATTTAGTGAGTTGTTTGAGAATTTAGTATTCATTCTTTAAAAAATATTTGAGTG